GCCCCCGCGCGGGTCCTCCGCAAGCAGCCCAGGGGGCTCAAAAAGTTTGCACTTGTTAGCGGCGATCTACTGCTGGGCCGGGGCGGGCGATGCGGGCTGGGTGGGCGGCCCCCTCCCCTGGCCCGCGTCTCCGGGACCGCTGCGGGCAGCCCCCCCGGCAGCCAGAGGGCTCCCCAGTTCCAATCTGACGGCGGCGGCGGCGGCCACAGCAGCAGCGGGAGCTGCGCGGGGACCAAGCACAGGTTCGCAGCACTCCGACCCTCGCCCCCACCCAGCTCCAGCCTGAGGGGGGAAAGCGGAGCGCCAGAGGGTGGCGGTCCTTGGCCTCCCGGGTCTCCGCTCCGGGAAGCCGCTCCGAGCCGGGGTAAGGCAGGCGGGGGGGTGGGAGGGAGAGATGCTGCAGCTTTGCCAGTCTGCTTTCATTTTTAAAGGGCTTGGGTGACCATGCAGGCTTTCCATGGGCCAGGAGCCACTTAAAGCAGCCCCGCAAACGATCGGATGCAAAAGTTATTTGGTAGCGGCTGCTAGTAGCTGAGGATAGGAAACGCCGGGAGAGGGGTGTGTGAGTGTGCATTTGTAGCAGCATCCAAAAGGAGTAGCTTGTCTTTCTGGCTGGCTTCCCCCACCCCACACACACCCCCAACCCCTAGATCTTTTCTCATTCTGTGTGTGTGTGTGTGTGTGTGTGTGTGTGTGTACTGGGGATAGCAATTGCAACACCGCCTGAATGTTTTTTGTTTGTGAAAAAGAAATTAACCCTTCCCTCGGCGCTACTCCCCCACCCCAATTTCATCGCCACCATCTAGACTCTCCCCTTCCCATCCCTCCGTAAATGGGATTGTATGAGTTTTGCACAGTGAAACTCTTGGCCAGCAACGGCTGGAAACTTCTTTCCGGGATGTGGAGGGATGGGTAGGTGGAGAGGGACGGGGGGCTGGTGTGCAATAGAACCTCGAACTAAGTGGCGCGCAGAGAGGGGAGAAGAGACTATGGGGAAGGCGGGAAGAGGAAGAGAACGGAAGGCTAGCGGGATCTGCCCGCTTTGGAGTAAGTTGCCTGGAGGGGCGTCGGGGGTGGGGGGCGGCGGCGGCGGCGGCGGCGGGGTACCTGCAAGCAGCGACGCGAGGGAAAAGGGTGCACTTATTTCTCGGACGCTTGGCTAGTGTCTCCTAATTAGAGGTCGTGCCAAATTAGGGGCCGGGGCATTATTGAAGACTGATTATTAATTGTTCCGATGGCTTGCACACAACTTTGGAAAAGGCATCAAGCAGCGGAGGAGTTGCCCTGTATCTCCTGTGTAACGCGGTTCACAGTTGACCGGAAGCGTCGACTCGACCCCGACCTCTCGGCTTTGGCAGCCGCAGGTTGACCCCTCCCTCAGGCCCACGGGGATACACCTCCCGAGGCCCCAGGCACCCAGCCGAAGTATTCTCCCCGCGTGCGGTTTCTCACGCCCAACTTTCCCGTGTTTCCCGCACCTTGCTCTGTTCCCCCGCCGCTGGGAAGTCGTGGGGGTACTCTTGGGGCGGAAGAAGGCGTCGGTTCCCGCGCGGAAAGTACCTGGGCCACCGAAAAGGGAATGCCCACTGGGCCTGCGGTGTGCCCTGGACACTTCCAGAATTCGGCCCACGTCGGAAGGTGGCCTTGGTCTACCAGGGCTTCCCTTTCCTCGCCCTCCAAGATTTGTTACCACCCAACAGATTTTACTCCCCTTCGTCGTCCCCACTCGAAAGTGAAGGAACCTCAAGGTGGGTTGGGTCCTAGGTGTCCCCAGGCACCCCCAAGGTCCCTGGAGGCCCCACACCGGCGCCCGCCGCCGCAAGTGTCCCACATGGCGAGGGAACAGCCGGCAACTCTGAGTTGCTCGAGAGCCCAGCCAGCTCCAAGAGGCGCTAATTCAATAAGACAGAGAAATCTGAGTTCAGAAATCCTGATAAAATCTAATTTTCGGGTTTTAATACCCTGGCTATCAGCCCCCCTCTGTTCCTGAGGACTCTTAAAAGAAAATAAAGCGCATTGATTCTATTTGTTTCTGAGAACTGCAGTGTCTTAATAATATCAGGTGAAGATTTATTTTCCAAGGAGTAAACAATCCTCCGGGATACAACCTCTGACATGGACATTACCCCCTTCCCCCCTCCCCCACACCCCTCGCTGGCTTTCGGTCTCCTTATTTCGCGGACTCTGACGTCTCTCTCCCCCCTCCCAATTATTTTTCTGTCTTTCCTTTTTTTTTTTTTTCTTTGCAAAACCCAACTGTAATATCCGTGTGCTGAGCTCACAATTCCCCCTACGGTGCCAACAACGCCCAATTGATTGATTGACTGGTTGTAAACATATCCACCACCATCCTTCCCCACTACCACCACCACCACCACCACCACCATCCGACAGATTTTGTTATTGTTGGCTTTTTTCCCCCTTCATTTTTCTAGGGAAAGCGTGGCATTTACACAAACAGAACTGCAAAGCAATTAATAGATTTGCGCTGCGCGCGGCTCGCGGTGGCCTCCAGGCCTCCCGGGCCTCGTCGCCTCCCGGCGCCCGCCGGGCCCTCGTCCAGCGCCTTCCAAGCCCCGAGCAGCCGCTGGTCCTGCAGATAAAGGAAACCCGCAGCTGGGTCCTCCCTGCGAGCTGCAGCCTGGCGCTCTGGTTGTCCTCGGGCATCAGGAGCTGCCTACCTGTTAGTGAACAGTTGGGAGTCCGCGGTTGGAAGAATTAATTAGGGACGTGCTGTTTTCTGGGCAGCACAGAACTCGAGTAGAGCCGTCCAAACCTTTGCCGGCCGCGCGATTTTATTTTTACTACATTTTCTCAGGCTGTAAAAATAGACGCCTGGCGGTTCTTTCTGAGAGTTTTCTAGCAACCGAGCGCGTTCAAGGCCGGCCGGGCAGTCTCTAAAAAAACAGGTTTCTTATTAAACAGCCAGAGGTGAGATGTGAAAATGTAGCCCTAGTCAGCTCCTCATTCATCTCCATCAGGAGTCTTTCAGCCAGATAGAGGGGTAGGGGCCAGCCTTAATGCAGATGTATGAATCCCCCCTGCTTATAGCCACCCGAGCAGGGGCTGGAGAGCTCCAGCCAGAGTTAAGGTGCTACAGGCCTGTGGTGGCCAGGCAGAATGGACATTCAGGTTTGTTATTTCTGGCAGGAACGTGTTTGTGACTGGATGGAGAATGGGGTTTCGTGGAAAGGTAGTTATCGCCTCATGGGCCTTCCATTAACACTGGCTGAAGCGGATGTCAGGTGTTAACAGTCAGACTGAGGTTCCACACTAAATTTAGGGTTGGGTTGGGGAATTTAAATGCAACATCATAATAATCAGAATAATTAATCATGTAGGTCCATCTGCTGTGACTCATTGCAATAACCTTTGGCCCATTGGCTGGTAGTTTTGGCCAGGTTCCCATACTGGTGTTGGGCTTGAACTCTCCCGGTGATGTATCATGTGTCTGGGAACACCACATTACTAAGAGTCATGCATCTGACAATGTAACATTCATATTAGTTATGTCTATTTGGGCTTTAAAATCATTTCCAGTGGCTTAAAATAGTAAAACAATAGTCATAATAGTGAGCCATTTGCAAGCAGAGCCTCTAAGGATGATCTCAAAATTTCAGCATTGGTCAGAAAATCTAATATGAGAAAACACTGTCACTCCTGGGAAAGTCTTCAATAGCCCCTGTTTCTTCTAGAGAAAAAAAAAAATTTTTAAATTTCCATTTCAGAGGGTGCTTATGGTTGGGAAGAGATATATCTACACCTGGTTCTTAATTGTTGGCCTCCATGTGGACCCATAGTTTGTCTGCACCCATAGATACCGTCTCATTTCTGCTTTAACAACTTTGACATTTGGACTTGTCAGTCAAGGTATTTTAAAGCAACCATTAAATCTTGGCTTCTAGGATGTTTTAGAAAGTTGCTGACCCAGAATGGGGGTATGTCTGCTGACCTAACACCCCCATAAATGATGATAAACCCCATCACTTTTTTTTATAATATGTTCAATTTCCAAATGTGCAATTCCGATATTAATAAAAATAACCCAGTTTTCTCCGGAGACCTTGCTAATGCAACCTCATTTTTTGCACATTTTGCCAGAGAGCTTTTGTTCTTATACATCTTTACCCCGCCCCCCCTTATTTTAATTTGTTGCAGGTGTTGTTGCTAATGAGCTCTCTCTCTCCTCTCCTCTTACAATGAAAGACAAGCCTGGATGGATTGAGAGCTGAAACCTCAGAAACTTCATAATAAGTTACCGATGGCTAACAGCCAAGGTCAGCGGGCCCCCATTAGTGCCTCTCCCCACCAACCTACAGCTAAATAACCTCCTCCCCAGTTAAGGCCTCAATAGCGTTTTTTATTTTTCAGTCCAGTCACACAATTGTTCTTACTTTGAATCCATATAAAAAGAAATCTCTTTTATTGGTCTGAAATGCCAAGTCCAGTCCCAAAGAGAAACATGTTTCCTGCTAACATGTACACCTCCTGATTTTATTTTATCTTTACAACACAGGCTGGAGGGCTGTTTTGCAGTTGTGTTGAGCACATCACACATTAAGGGCCCTTTAAAGACCTGGATTGATTGGAAGGACAGAAATTAAAAGCAATCTGATCCGGCCTCATGCCAGATCCCTGCGGATTTTCTCCCTATCCCATTTCCATCCACTGTCACAATTTGAGAATCTGCCTGATTTGATCAGATTCACCTCTGGGAGAGGTGTAATGCCAAGGTTAGGAGGACACCAAGTTATGGGCAACTTTTTGATCTGCCCATCAGCAGTCTGAGAAACGCTGGCCCTGAATTTTCTGTATCAGCCTTTTGGAAAAAGCAAGTTCCTTGCTGGTTGCAAACCTGCAGTGCTCACCGTTCCTGGGACATCCCGGCCACCAGTGCTCGGTAGATGTGGCATTTCCATGCTGAGGCTGAAAGTCCCACCTGACCCCATTGCTGCCTCTTCGGGGCCTCTCTGGACCACTCCCCTGTGGACTCCGCAGCCATGCTGCACCTGCTGGCACTCTTCCTGCACTGCCTCTCACTGGCCTCTGGGGACTACGACATCTGCAAATCCTGGGTGACCACGGATGAGGGCCCCACCTGGGATTTCTACGCCTGCCAGCCCAAGGTGATGCGCCTGAAGGACTACGTCAAGGTGAAGGTGGAGCCCTCGGGCATCACGTGTGGAGACCCCCCTGAGAGGTTCTGCTCCCATGTAAGTCAGCCCATTGCTGTTCTCTTAGCCCAAACCAAGGGGGAGGGAGGCTGTGTCCCAGACCCCTGGGATGGATGAACAGAGTGGAAGGGTCAGGATGCAAAGTTGACTTGGATTGGAACCAGGTTTTTGTCCCATCCGGGAGTTTTGCCAAACAACTCTGGGGTCATGTGATATTGCTCTCTAGGGTGGGAACATTCTTTGCCAGCTGGTCTACCATCAGGAAGACCATGGTAATCACATCTCCCCTTGCAGATAAGCCCTGCCATCCTTAGTAGGAAGGGAATGGTCCCGGGCAAGCAAGCGAGTGAGGTATTATGTAAAATGTTGCACCCCAACCTCCTTGTGTTGATCCATTCTGGGTACACCCTCCTACCTCCACTCACTACAAGCCAACAGACAGCACTGTGAAGCCAGGGTGCACCAAGCACTGAATTGGCACTTTGCAGAGGATGGTTTGATGGAAACACAGAGAGGAAGGTGAGGATTAAGTCAGAATAGATGGGGAGATTGGGGTCCTTGCCAGTTCTATCTTTGGGTGCTACTGCCACTGTCACTGAATAAGTCAGGGAAGAGGCAGACCTTCCAGAGTTGTCACTTGAGTTCTTGAGTTAAACGATGATGACGTTTCAGAGCCACAGAGTAACTTCAGGACTCAGGTCTTCGGAACAGAACCAATAGTAATACCAACAGGGATCACTGAGCTCCATGAGTGGGGGCTAAACACTTGATATGCAGCATTCCAATGAATCCTCACCTCAGCTCAGCCAGGCTGATTCTGTGTTGTATTAAAGTAGGAGTATTAATGTGTGGCCTCTTGACCTGTGCCATCTGTGGGGCTCTGTTCCTTCACTTGTAAAATGGGGACACTAACAGTGCACGCTCATAGTCTTATTGAGGTTCTCACACAGCAAGTGCCAGGTGGATGTTAGCTGTTGTCATTCTCCACTCGTAGATGGAGAAACTGAGGCAGCAGGCATGAAGGAACTTGCCCAGTGTCCCATAATAGGAAATAGTGAAGCGGTGATTCAAACTTAGTATATCTGGTTCCAAATCACTAAGCTGAGCCCCAGGATCACCACGTTGCTCCTGGGCATTGCTACGGAGACTCTGTGACTGATAGGAGGCGGGGCAGAGCAGCCATACAGCAGGAGCTGATGGAGGCAGGAGTGGTGGATAGCCCTCTGTCCTGTCCTTGGGGAAACCTCTGGGTCTCTGGGTTTGTGGTAAGGCTGAGGTGGTGCTCCCACCCTGGGGTCCTAAGAACTCTTCAATCCCATAGGGCAACCTCAGTCACACCACAAAGCAGTCAACCCAGGAGGTGTATTACATTTGGACTTATTATCAGCGATAAGGCTGTCACTGTGGGTGTTGGCTGGGCTGCTAAGAAGCCACCCGGGAGAGAAGGAGTTGGAGGGAAGGATTAAGGAGACAGCACAGAGCTGCAAGCAAGGGACTGAGCCATCCGTGGGGATTATTGCACTGGGCACCGAAATATCTCTCTTTCCCAGGAATGGACCTTGAAGGTCAGAGGCGAGCCCAGGGTGGGAGCCCAGCTCTGTTCTGCATCTCAGGCCAGCTGTCCAGTTCACACCCTCTTGGGAGCGGCCAATTTCTGCCTCTTATATTAGAAGTCTGCACTGGATTTTTATCAAATGTTAAACATTGCCTTTTTTGGGTGTTCTGAATGGGGGCAGGGCATGCAGCTAAACCAGAATCCACAAATCCACAGAACCATCTTCCCGTTAAGGGTTTGAGAGGTGACCATGTAATGTAGGTCCCAGACCCTCTCCTGGACAAAACCTGCTCAAGATGCCCTTGGCCCTGACCTCACTCTCAGACAGAGCCAAGGCAGGTGTCCACAGAGCCCTGATATCTGGGAGCAGTTCCTTTCCTCCCTCTTGGGAAGTAAGATGAAGGAAGCAGGAGAGGAAGAACAGCATCTCCAAGATCTTCAGTTAGGTAGATCCTCAGTGTCTCAACACCTGTTTGATGGACTTAAATATTTTATTACGGGCTGTCATCCAGCTCTGCTTTTGATTACAAATGTGCAGCTGACGAGGATGGGAATGCTGCCTCGGCAGGTGGAGGGCAGCCTTCTAGGAGACTGGACATGGATTCAAACCCTAGTGCTGCCATTTATTGAGGTTTCCCCTGAGTAAGTCGTTGTGTGCCTTTCATTGAATCATTTTAGGGTGCTCTGAGGTTGGCTATATGCTAATCCCATTTTAGGGATTAGAAAGGGTTGAATAAATCCTGCCAAGGTCACTCAGTTATTACATGCAGCAGAGCCAGACAGGGAACTTGTCTGGGGCGGGGACCAGGCTTACCTACCGGGCTGCACCCTTTTCTGAGCTTCTGCCTTCTCTGAGGATTCTCACTGTCTTCATCTGTAAAGCAGATGTGCTTGTGTCTGAAGGACCCAGTGCTGATGGGAGGGTGTAGCCCCATACATCCCCAGTGCTCAGGGTACACTAGCTGTTATTCACTTAAGTAGAGTCATTATTACTCTTTCAGTGGCTCCCCTGACTTTTCTTCTTCCTGGAGTTCTTATCCCTCTCCAACCTTTAGAACACCACACCCAGTATTTCTAGTCGCTGAGCAGCAGGCAGTACGTGCTCAGGAAGCTTAAACCTCTCCAGCCACAAACCTTCAGGCGGTTGGCTGGCCACCAGGGGGCACTCTAATGGCAGCCAGACTGCCCACTGCGCCCCCTACCATGCAATGGACTGTCCTTGTCCTTCCTCCCCTGACCCCTTTTGCCAGCTCTTCCCCAAGCCCATCCCACAGCAGGTGCTGTCCCCATAGCCAATCAGAACATGAGCCCCAGAGCACCTGAGGGTACAAGAGGGACCAAGGGGTGGCTGCCCTTTTCAGGGCTCAGGATGCATGACCCTCTCTCACCCCAAGCCTGCTGTCCTTCGTCCTTCGGCAAGGCCACCTGAGAAGTGAATTGTAAATTCCAACCTAGTGAGGAAGGGGAGGGGAGAAGAAGACAAGATAAATGAATAAATAAAAACCTATTGGCTCTAAATGCACAATGAGAATTAATAGGGATGAGCTCTCAACCGAGGATTCCTGGGCAAGGGCAAAATTTCAATGAAGGCTGCGGGAGAGACACCGCAGCACCCATCCTCCTTTGGTTTCCAGGGCTCAAGATGTCCAGTCCATCCGGGAGAGGAGGGAAAGGCAGTGTTAGCAAAGTTGCAAGGCAGCTGCAGCCCCCAGGACCCCTTGGAGGCTGAGGGCACGAGCACGGGGAACCAGTCCTATAGTCCTCCACACTAGCCGCCTGCTCTGCCGGTGAAAGGAGGGAGAAGCCCTTTCCTTGTGCTTTGGAGACAAAAGCTCACCACTTGAGACTCAAGGGGAAGATGATGAGGAAGGAGAGAGCCACAGTCCAGGCAGGATGATGTTTAGAGCTACTCAAGGTCTGCTTCTTGGACCACCAGCACTGACATCACCTTGTTAGAAATGTAAACTTCCAGGCTCAGCCCCAGAACTGCTGAACTGAAATCTACATTTTAATAAGAAATTCTGGTGATTGGAGTGGTTACATTATACAATCTGAGAAACACAGCCTGACATCATTGGTCCATAGTGGATGACACCTATTGTTAATGAAGAGATAAGGAGGCTTAAGTTCCCATGGGGTGTTTGCTGGGAAGAATTACTGGTGAAGGAAGAAAGATGAAGGGCAGAAGGGCTCAGGCGGTCCTGGGAATGAGGGAATGGAGCTGAGAGCTGAGGTCAAGGACAGGGCTAGTGCTTTACTGTGAGGGAGACTAGGGGAAGGTTGCAGAGAGAAGCAGTGATATACCGGCAGAAGCCACAGACTTGGACTCTCAGTTCACATTCCAGCTTTGTCTTTTGGGGGCTGGTGGTGAGGGGCAAGTCCTTTAAATTCTCTATGTTTCAGTTTCCTTCTGTAATGGGCATAGTTCACTCCACCAACTTCCTGGGAGAAGGAAGTACCTCTCAAAATATCTGAAAGTACTTAGTTAAGAGTGTAAGTTCTGTTCTAATGTGAGGCTTTAATATTATCATTTAAAAAGTACCCTTGATTTTTCTGTGTAGAAATGGATACACATTGAACTGTTATACATATATACAGAGGGGCCTTGTGGTGGAGAGGAAAATCAAGAGAAGACTGTGAAGGTCCATCTTTAAACGCTCACTTCTTACTCAGTTAGAACCTATTTTGCCTGCTCTGTGACTTGGTTTACCCAGCTGCAGAGCAAATGGTTCCACCCCTCTCTCCCTGGGGATCTGCTGGACTGATTAATGCAGAAGGCAGGAGGTTCCTGGAGTTCTTCAAGCCCCTCCTCAGCCAACATTGAACAAGGTCACAGACACCGTGCCAGACCTTGATGTTCATGTATCCATCCACTAATGCTAAGCTGACAGGCCCAATGGTCTAGGTCCCCAAACCCGTAGAGAAGTGTTCTCAGAACACCCATCCCCAGCCTCCTGACTTTTCCCACCATACCTACCTTTCAGCGAACATCTCCAGGATCTGACTTCATGTGTCAGAACTGTGAGGGGTTTTCGGTTGCACAGGGATAGCAAGATGACTTGGGGAGACTTAGAATAAGAGAAACACAATAGATGTCGAAGACCATAGCTAGCTACCAGTGGGTGATGAGAAAGGCCTAATATAATGGGAAGTTTAAAAGGGTGAGGGCAGCTCCCTTTCCAACTAACCCTTGAAGTTGCATCCCAACTCCTTGCCTTTGCCTCGGCAGTCTCCTGGGTTCCTTCCTGCATCCCTGCCTCCCAACTGGATACCTCTCCATTCAGTTTTCAAGGTTCAGGTTGGTTCTCACCTCCTACAGGAGATTGTCCTTTTTGACTCCCTCACCCAGTGATTTAGAAGACTCTTTTCTGTTCACAACCCTGCCATTGTGCTCCCTGGCCTAGGATTTTTGTGCTCAGGCCTAGAGGTAAAGTTGTAATCCTGTGCTATGTGACCTTGGGCAATTGACTTGACCTCTCTGGTC